TGTTGCTGCTGATCCGTTTCATGTTGCTGCTGATCCGTTTCATGTTGCTGCTGATCTGTTTCATGTTGCTGTGTACATTTGTGCTCATCTGCTCTCAGACTCATGTTCGTGCTGCTGTTTGGCGTAAAGTTTTTATACTACAAGTGCTTAACATATTTTTAGTTAATGTTTTTTTTTAGTTCCTCTCTTAGATCTTATTACCGTTTTTCTTTTACATTAATATTTTTGTTGGATGTAACTGGGACCCTGTTTACACAATTTCGTTTCACCGCGTGTGTCACACGTGGTGTGTATGAAATGTTGGGATCTTCATTAACAACGAGACAAATCACAACAATAGTTGTGTGAACACTTAAGAAGCATTCACTCTACTGTGATCCGTTTTTCTTCCCTATGTTTTTCGGCGCGGTTCTCGTCTCACAGTTTTCAAACTATTTCAACAAATCAAATCAAATCCTTCTATGATTTTTGGTATTAGTGCAACTTTATCCGTTTGAAATATTTAGCCTTTTCTGTCATTTTTTTATTCATAGAAAATGAATTGAGCTCATTTTACATCCTTCAAATCTTTAGATCTTTTACTGCTCCTTTCACATTTTGTTCTGCTTCAGCTTCTTTTAGATTCCTTGTGAAAATTTAAACTTTTTTTTTTAACTAATTTCAGCTAATTTCAGCTGTTTCTTTGCTCTTTTTAGATCATTTTTGCTAACTAAAACATTTTTGTGCTTCTAACTTATTTTTGCTAATTTTAGCTTGTTCTGCTCCTTTCAGCTTATTTATGCAAGTTTCCACTTTTTCTGCTACTTCAGCTACCATTTAGCTTTTTTTATGCCAATTTTAACTTTTTCAGCTAATTCCACTTTGTTTTTTTGCACTCATTTTAACTTTTTTCTGCCTAATTCAGCAAAATTGTGCTCACGCCACTTCATTTTGGTAATTTAAGCTATGGTAGTTTCTGCTTTTTCTGCTACTTTTAATCTGTTTTTTCCTCATTTCAGCTTTTTCCAGACAATTTCAACTTTTTTGTGCTCGTTTCTGCTTCTTTCAGCCTAATTTGGAAAACATGTTCTTTCTGCTTTCTTCTGCTAATTTAAACATTTTCTAACCTACTTTTCAGAATTGTTTAGCTAATTTCAGCTTTTTAGATAAATACAAGTCTTTCGTGGTAATTTATGCTACTTTCAGCCTAGTTAACTTCTTTCTGCTAATTTGAGTTTTTTTCTGTTATTTCTGCTACTTTAGCAGTTTTGTCTAAATTTAGCTTTTTCAGCTAATTCCACATTTTCTGAGCTCATTTCAGCTCCTTCCACTTCCTTCTGGTGGTTTAAGGTTCTTTCTGCCTTTTCAGCTACTTTTCAGCTTGTTATTTTTTCTAATTTAAGCTTTTTCCCCCACCAATTTCCTAATTCCTGTGCTCATTTCTGCTTATTTAAAGCAAATTCAGCAAATGTCTTCTTTCTGCTTTCTTCTGCCAACTTAGGCTTGTTCTTCCATTTCCATTTCAGCTACATTTCAGCATTTTTTTTTAGCTAATTTCAGCTGTTTTTCAACAAGTTCTTCTGCAATAAGCATTCACACTGCATTTTCACAGGAAATGCAATTTCTCTAGTTTAGATAAATTTAAAAGCAGCATCAGAGGCTGATTACCATGCCAATAATAATAATAATAATTAATATTATTATTAACCCGTCCAGGGTGTACCCCGCCCCTCGCACAGTGATTGCTGGACATGGGCACCGGCGACCACTGTGACCCAAAATGGAAGAAGAGGGTAAAGATAACGGATGGATGGAATATTATTATTATATTTTTAATAATGGTCCAAATTTGTCCATCTACATCTCAAACTGTCCTCTACTAGAATAAGTCTTGCGTGTAAAGGTTTGTGTGTGGGTTTGATGTACGTGGAAGAACTCAACAACATAATGTGTCTACAGTAGTTTTGTAAACCATGCACACAAAAATAGGCCACACTTTTCAAAGACTGCCCACAATAAATATCTGCACATCTCTGGGTAAATGGACTGTACTTATATAACATCTTTCTATCTAATCAAGACACTCAAAGCTCTTTACACAAGAATCTGTGTCCTCATTTACCCATTCATACAGCTCTATACTAGATCTATACAAAACTAATTGAACAAACCATTCTAAAGAGACTAATCAGAGCTTTATCACATTCATACACTGATGGGTCACACATCGGAGGTGACGAGCTGTTCAGTGTCTTGCCCATGGACACTTCGGCATCTGACTGCTGGTGGATTCGAACCCCCAACTCTTAAATTGGAGGATGACTGCTCTAACCACTCAGCCACAGCCGCCCCAATGGGTGTAAACACTCAGAACTCATCAAGTCTGCAGTTCCTGAACATCTGCACACTGCCTCTGAATGTCTTTGTAATTTAGTTGCCAGCTAGTTTCCAGTAGTTGCAGCTCATAAATATAACAATTTTATTCAGGGAGAAACATCAACATTATTTATTAATTGTTGATTTTTACGTTTCCTCATCTCAGAACCTAACATGCTTCGGGTTCCAGCAAACTCGCCGTGTTCATGAACTTTGATAAGAAACAAGCTGCGACGGTGAAAACCCAGAGTTGAACTCACTGCCTCACCAAGCCACTAATGACGCTTTGCCACTGTCTCAACTCTCATCAGTTCCGCACCAGTTAAGGGCCTGTCTGCTGCTGGGACCCCCCCCCACACACACACTCAGCCCGGTTTATGGGACCACCTTGTTGGAGGTTCCAAACAGACGGCTCTGAGGTGATCGTTCTGATGTAAGCAGAGACAGCAGGTGTTGAGTGGCCAGAGGAGCTACTGTACGTTACTGGATGACCTGTCGAGCAGAACTGCAAAACTACATCTGAACCTCCACTTCCTCATCGTGTTGACGGACGACTCCACAAGAAATGAACTCATTTACAGAGAGATATCAGAGATGATGGTGCAGCATGGCTACACCCACACGAATAAGCTAAAGTATGAAGATTAAGGACAACAATAGGCGGAGTGGCTTGAACACAATGACCTGTTATGATCCCGCCCACTTTGCATTTATGATCCCGCCCACTTTGCATTTATGATCCCGCCCACAGAGCGAGAAACAAGTCACAGTGGATCACCTACACCTGAGAAGAACTGATAAAACGAGGCCCAAGTGGAGTCGTACTTATCAATGGTAAAGAGGCGTCATACTGGACTTGCAGAACTGGCCTCAGGTTCAAACCAGTCTCCAGCCTGTCTCAATGGAGGTTGGGTGTGTTCTTACCTTCGTCTCGCAGTGTGAATCGTCCCATCTGGGGGAAGTCTTTGAAGGTCTCTAGGCAGATGACTCCCGCTGCCCGGAGCCTGGCGATACACACCTGGTCCTGCTTCACGAAGCGAGGTCGCGTTTTACTTTTGTCTCCCGTCTTCTTGTCAACCAGACAGATTAATGCCTGAGGTCGGAACGATAAGAGATTAACAACAGACTTGGCAAACGAAACTAAAGATGAACAAACGGCGACGAACACGTGACAGCAGCAGCTGTAATAAGGTTATTGTTGCCGAGCAGCAACTTACTGTGATCTGCACTTCTTCAATGCAGGTGTGGATGTGGAGGACTGCGTTGTAGCCGGGACAAATGATTGATTTGTGCTCGATGATGACAATCTGAACAAAAATAATAGTAATTTGAAAATGAAATCAGCAGCGTGTCACGTTTACTACTTTTTGATGAATCTTTCTTTGCCTAATTTCAGTACGCTCACCGTACATTGTGTTAGAAAAAAGCCTGAAAATAACTTGCATAATAATAATAACTCTCATAATTCACTTCACGTGAAAAATATCCACAGCTTAGCAACACAGACTCAAAATGCCATGTGACAAATGGTGATAAATTAAATTAATCTTTAATCTTCAGCCTAAGAAAATTTGGATTCTAAGAGGAAATGTGAGCAGCACGAAGCAAAGCTGACTTTTTGGTTATTACCTGTGCATCAAAGGTGCGACCGGTGTGGCAGAGGTTGTCGGGGCTGCAGAGAATAAAACCGGGGAGGATCTCCTCTTCTTCTATTCCCTTCAGTCTCAGCTTCAGGTTCTCCCCGGGGCTCGCGTCATCCGTCTCCACATCGTCGCTGAGCAGGCTCAGTACTTCCACGGTGTGCTGCAACACACAAACAGGTGAAGTTTGTACATGAAGACAAAAACCTTTGTGGAATTAAAAGCAGAGACCTGTTCAAATGATGTAATACAGGAGTGTGAGGAGCGCTCACCCTGTTTGGCATCATGACCAGCTGCTGAGCTTTACTGATGGACCCAGACTCCAGCTTCCCAAGGATCACTGTGCCCATATCCTGGAAACACAACCAGGAGACATCAGCTGCTATAAATTTATGTTTTCTTTTCACATATGAACATTTTAGTTAGAGCATAAATTCAAACATGAATTTTTGATTTAGAGTTCCGACACCTCCGCTGCCGTTTATACGACACTCTGGACACTTGTCACTCGCAGAACGAAGGCAACAAAGAGTAAACTCAACGCGAGAGCGACACCTGCCTCCTCTTTCCTCTTTCACGTTGACATTTTTTTTGTTTTTAATCGATAGTGTGCTTATTGATCCCGACTTCCTCCAAAAAAAAAAATAAAAAATCTGCACAAATTGTTTTATTCATTTCTGTTTTGCAGGTCAAAGTGTTTTCTATAACTCAGAGTTAAAATGTTGATCAATTTTAATTTATTAGTTATTGATTATATTTAATTTTTCAGCATCAATGGTCAAAATGTTTACAGTTTAAATGCATGTAATGGCATGCATGTTTTTGGTCTGTGGGAGGAGGAGGAGGGGGGCACGCATGCACGGAGCGCGTGTGCAGACTCCGCCCAAAAAGGCCCCCAGGCTGGGATTTGAGCGAGGGTAGCCTGCTCGCTGAGAGGCAGCAGCTTTACGAACTGCGCCACCGTGCAGCCCTGTTCAAGGAACATGAAAATGTAAACAATTAGCTGGAGTGGATTCATTTACACCAACAAAACCTTCCTGTTGTTCCAGGTTTCTGTCGGACAATAATCAGTACGATGATCAGGTATCAGGGATTCATCCGTGTTCTTGGTTTAAACCAGGTCTCTTGTAAATGAGTCCTCGAGGCTCAGTGAGACTAACCTGTAGAAATAAAGGTTGAATGAACTGTATAAGCTGCGGGGTTCAAAGCTTGTGAAAAAGGTAGCAGCTTATAGACCGGAAGGTACGGTAGTTCAAACACAACGAGAGAAAATAAGCTGAATAAATAATATATAAGAAAAACAACAAAAACAAAAAGCTGAAAACTAACTCAGCTCCGTCAACACGTTCACGGCTTTCAATCCAGAACCCACGAGTGCCAAGAAGCTGAACTATTGTGAAGAGACTGCAGCTCGCAGACCTGCAGTGCGTGGTTTTTACTAAATATCCCAGAACAAACACAAAATGAAAAAGGAACAAAACAACAAAAGGAAATATTTTCTGCTCCATGGTTCGAATGTTACATTTTTATTTAGTCTCCATGAGAGAACGCAGTGGAAGACGTCCCTCACCTTGTATTTGTCTACAATGGGAAGTCTGACGCCTCCGTCACTGGATCTGTTGAAGTTTGGCAAACTGTCCAGGTGGGCGATGAAGGGCAAACCTCTGCAAACAAAAACAAACCACAGACAGTTCCTCGTGAATAAACCATGTGCAGTTATGAGTCACTTACTCTTCTTCCTGATGGATCCTAGATTTTCAGCAATCCACTGCTTTTTTCAACAAATGTGTAAAAAAAAATAATAAACCACAAAAAAAAAAAAATCTGCTAAAGCCTCTTTCTATTTACCAGTTGAGATTATAGTGCAACATGTTATTTTGTACACTGAAGCTTCTGACAAAATGTTTCCCTTTCATCTAGCAATTTTTTGCTAATTTCATCTTTTTCAGCCAATTTCCTAATTTGCGTTCATTTCTGCTTATTTAAACCCAATTCAGCAAATATGTGTTCTTTCTGCTTTCTTTTGCTTGTTCTTCCATTTCAGCTATATTTCAGCATGTTTTTAGCTAATTTCAGCTGTTTTTCAGCAAGTTCTTCTGCAATAAGCATTCACACTGTATTTTCGCAGGAACTGCAATCTCTCTAGTTTAGACGCATTTACTACATTTGCAATGAGACCTTATTTTACTTCCTAAAATAAATGTAAAAGCTGTGGATTGAGTATTTATATTTGCAATTAGCTGAACTCTTCATGGTGTAAAAACCGGACTTACGTGTACCAGGAGCCTTCAGGTGCAAAGTCCTTGAGGTTGGCACCTGTGAGTCCAGAGCAGGGCATGAAATGGATGTCCTTCTTGGGGTTGAAGCCCACCTTCTTTAAAAATGGCACCAGCTTCTCTTTACACTCTTCATACCTGGAAGATGGCAGCCAAAATACAAAAATGGCACATTTTGCCTTCTTGCTTTAATTTTTTTAATTATCAAGTTTTATGAGGGAAAAAAAAAAGAAGTAAACTTATTGAGACCCCAAACCAAAAATAAAAGTTTGAACTCAAACAAACCCGTTGTTATTCTGACCTCTCTAGGCTCCAGTTCACCGTGGGGTCGTCCATCTTGTTGATCAGGACGATGAGATGTTTCACTCCTGCTGTTTTAGCCAGCATGGCGTGTTCCCGTGTCTGGCCCCCCTTCTCAAAGCCGGTCTCAAACTCCCCCTTTCTTGCCGAGATTACCTGAAAGAAAGAAAGAGATAAAGATAAATGAGCTGGTTTTTTAAATAACTGGACGGAAGAAAAGAAAGAGTTGCTGTGGAAGCGTTTACTGGTCAGCCTCACCAGAACTGCGAGGTCGGCTTGTGACGCGCCGCCGATCATGTTGGGGACAAAGCTCTTGTGTCCGGGAGCGTCCAGGATGGTAAAATGCTTCTTCTCAGTCTCAAAGTAAGCTCTCCCAACCTCAACTGTCTTCCCCTTGTCTCTCTCCTCCTGGTTTGTGTCCAAAGCCCACGATAAATACCTACAACGACCACGTTCACACAAATTAAATAATAATAAAAATACTATAGGCCTGTCACGATAACAAATTTTGCTGGGCGACTAATTGTCTCAGACAATATTGTGATAAACAATAACATTGTTTGAAATTTGACAATAATTTCTAATTATTGTCAAATATAAGAAGAAATGTTGGCAAATGTTTGCATGCAGTACCTTTTTTCGACCACCAGACGGCAGTTTAAGACTGTTTGAACCAAAGGATGGATAGTGAGGGAGCGAGTAGCGTGTCTCTTTACAAAAAAATGGGAGGGAGGCCCCTGGACGTGACATGGGCTCTCCTTTTTTTCAGTTCTCAAAATGGCAGACGCTCGGCGTGGTTTGAGCTCTTTAGCATAGCATTTTTCAAATCATTTCATTTTCATCAAAAAAAATCAGTAAACAATTTCTCAGCTTCTTTTTGCAAAAAAAAAAAAAAAAACTTTTAGACAAAGGCACAGGTTTCAACCGTGAATTTCGGAGCTTCGACAAGACGGAGGTTTTTTTTCCGGAGGTCAACTTGTTAGCTTAGCTCGTAGCTTAGCTTAGCTGCTTTTAACGACCCAAAAACGTGATTTTGGACGGTTAAAACAGATTTTAAAGAGAAAAGAGAAAGGGAGGAGTCAGTGAAGAGCACCGGAGTTGAGCTTTTTGTCATCCAGTGTCTTCAGTAGAAAGAGAGACACGAAGAAACGATAAAGCCGATAAATGAAAATAAAGTTGATAATTTTCATTTACAGGTCCTTCTCAAAAAATTAGCATATTGTGATAAAGGTCATTATTTTCCATAATGTAATGATAAAAATGAAACTTTCATATATTTCAGATTCATTGCACACCAACTGAAATATTTCAGGTCTTTAATTGTTTTAATACTGATGATTATGGCATACAGCTCATGAAAACCCAAAATGCCCGTCCCAAAAAATTAGCATATTTCATCCCACCAATGAAAGACGAGTGGTTTTAATAAAAAAAACACCAACCTTCAAATAATCATGTTCAGTTATGCACTCAATACTTGGTCGGGAATCCTTTTGCATGAATGACTGCTTCAATGTGGCGTGGCATGGAGGCAATCAGCCTGTGGCACTGCTGAGGTGTTATGGAGGCCCAGGATGCTTCGATAGCGGCCTTAAGCTCATCCAGAGTGTTGGGTCTTGCGTCTCTCAACTTTCTCTTCACAATATCCCACAGGTTCTCTATGGGGTTCAGGTCAGGAGAGTTGGCAGGCCAATTGAGCACAGTAATACCATGGTCAGTAAACCAGTTACCAGTGGTTTTGGCACTGTGAGCAGGTGCCAGGTCGTGCTGAAAAATGAAATCTTCATCTCCATAAAGCTTTTCAGCAGATGGAAGCATGAAGTGCTCCAAAATCTCCTGATAGCTAGCTGCATTGACCCTGCCCTTGATAAAACACAGTGGACCAACACCAGCAGATGACATGGCACCCCAGACCATCACTGACTGTGGGTGCTTCACACTGGACTTCTGGCATTTCCTTCTCCCCAGTCTTCCTCCAGACTCTGGCACCTTGATTTCCGAATGACATGCAAAATTTGCTTTCATCCGAAAAAAGTACTTTGGACCACTGAGCAACAGTCCAGTGCTGCTTCTCTGTAGCCCAGGTCAGGCTCTTCTGCCGCTGTTTCTGGTTCAAAAGCGGCTTGACCTGGGGAATGTGGCACCTGTAGCCCATTTCCTGCACACGCCTGTGCACGGTGGCTCTGGATGTTTCTACTCCAGACTCAGTCCACTGCTTCCACAGGTCCACCAAGGTCTGGAATCGGCCCTTCTCCACAATCCTCCTCAGGGTCCGGTCACCTCTTCTCGTTGTGCAGCATTTTCTGCCACACTTTTCCCACTGAGGTGTCTTGATACAGCACTCTGGGAACAGCCTATTCGTTCAGCAATTTCTTTCTGTGTCTTACCCTCTTGCTTGAGGGTGTCAATGATGGCCTTCTGGACAGCAGTCAGGTCGGCAGTCTTACCCATGATTGAGGTTTTGAGTAATGAACAAGGCTGGGAGTTTTTAAAAGCCTCAGGAATCTTTTGCAGGTGTTTAGAGTTACGTCGTTGATTCAGATGGTTAGGTTAATAGCTTGTTTAGAGAACCTTTTCATGATATGCTAATTTTTTGGGACAGGCATTTTGGGTTTTCATGAGCTGTATGCCATAATCATCAGTATTAAAACAATTAAAGACCTGAAATATTTCAGTTGGTGTGCAATGAATCTGAAATATATGAAAGTTTCATTTTTATCATTACATTATGGAAAATAATGACCTTTATCACAATATGCTAATTTTTTGAGAAGGACCTGTATCATGTGATTGATTGATTTGTTTATTGTGACAGGCCTAAAAAATAATAATAATAATAATAAGTGCACCTAAAGTGTTCAGAAACAATACCATCTTTGTGTAAAGTTCTCACCATGTCTCTCTGTTCTTTTCTTTTGCTTCTCGCTCGTATTTTTCCAGAGTTCTCTTGTCCACCATTCCAGTCAGGTACCTAACAACAACAACAACAACAACAAACATGTAGCGCTGCAGCTAGCAGACAGTCACTGCTGCACAAAACATCCAAATTAATTACTCACATGATCTGCCCTCCAATTGTTGATTTACCAGCATCTGATGTTAAAAATATAACAAGAATATTTTAAATTCCAAACATTCTGTATAATCTTTCCATCCAGACCGGTTGTGTGAGCGGTACGCACCCACGTGACCAATGAAGACCACGTTCACGTGCTCCTTCTTGGGAGCGTCGGGTGGCGGAGGAGCCACTTTAGGTACGGGCATCTCCTCCTCTTCCTCCTCCATCATCTCCTCATCTTCTCTCCCCGCGGCGCCTCCCTCCTCGCAGCCTCCTTCTGTACCCGCCTCCTGTCCTCCACCTCCCTCACCTCCCCCAGGTTCCTCCTTCTGCTCCCACGTCTCCTCCTCTGTGTTCATGTCCGCCTCGGTGTTTCCGTTCTCCACCGGAGCTGAAATCAAACGAGGTTCATTACACTCAGAGTCCTGCTGCGCCTCAACGAGACGCTAAAACACGACGAGAACTTCTGTCTGTTCATTTAGTCGTCGTGTAAATCTAACGAAGCTCTGCCATCCGTTCAAAAACAATCAGAGAATCAAGTTCTGTTCAGCAAATGAGAACAAGTTAAACTACAGAAACTGCATTTCCTGTGAAAATACAGTGTGAATGCTTATTGCTGAAGAACTTGCTGAAAAGCAGCTGAAATTAGCTAAATAGCAGAAGAAAGCAGAAAGAACACATATTTGATGAAATAGGTTTAAATAAGCAGAAATCGGCACAAACATTTGAAAATTAGCAACAAAAAAGGAATTAAATCAGCACAAAAAAGTAGATGAAAAGGCAAACGGATGCTTTAACTACCAGAAGGAAGTGGAAAGAGCTGAAATTAGCTCAAAAATGTGGAATTAGCTGAAAAAGCTAAATTTAGCACAAAACAGCTAAAAAGTTGCTGAAATAGCAGAAAAAGCTGAAATTGCCATAAAGAGGTTAACTATGCGGATAGTAGCTGAAATTACCATAAAAAATTGAATTTATCTAAAAACAGCTGAAATTGGCTAAAAATGCTTAAAAAAAAAAAAAGTAGCTGAAAAGGTAGAACAAGCTTAAATTGCAGAAGCAGAAAGAGCACGTGTGCTGAAAGAAGCAAAAATGAGCACAAAAAAGAACAGCTGAAAAGTAGCTAAAAAAAAATCCGAAAAGTGAATTGTGAATTTTTGCTGAAAATGTTTTTTTAAATGAGTGCAAAACATGTCATTAGCTGAAAAGTTTAAATTAGCATAAAACAGCTATATAGTAGCTGAAATAGCAGAAAAAGCTGAAACTTGCAGAAATAAGCTGAAAGGAGTATAACAAGCTGAAATAAGCAGAACGAAGTTAGAACACAGAAATGTAGTTAGAAAAAATATGAAAGGATCACAAAACAGCTGAAATGAGCTGAAAGTAGCAGAAAAAATGTTTAAATTTGCATAAGGAAGCTGAAAGAAGCCGAAGCAGAACAAAATGTGAAAGGAGTAGTATAAGGTTGTAAACAGATCTAAAGATCTGAAGGATGGAAAATGAGCTCAATTCATTTTCTATGAGAAAAAAATGTCAGAAAAGGCTAAATATTTCAAACAGCTAAAATTGTACCAATACCAAAAGTCATAGCAGGATTGTCCTGAACTAGCTGAATTCAAAAAGTGTTCAATACAAAAACAAGTGGACTTTATTTGTGACAGAAGACGTTTCGCTCCTCATCCGAGCAGCTTTCTCAATTCAAAGAGCAGAGAGTGAGAGAAGTTGTTTTTGTACTGAACACTTTTTGAATCATCATGTCCTGGATGACTGAGAATCTTCACCAGCACCTGAACTAGCTGAACATTTTACGATTTGTTGAAATACTTTGAAAACTACGGGACGAGAAAGATGCCAAAAAATGTAAAGAAAAGTGGATCACAATAGAGTGAATAACCACCCTGCAGGAAGCTGCTGGTGGCCTCGCTCGTCCTGCCTCGTCTTTAGGACAAAATCAGGAACAAAAATTAAAACGTCCTTGAATGTCTCTACAGGAAGTGAGGAAAAAGTCATCTTTATTTGCTTTTTCAATTAAAATCAACACCTGGCTTCTTTATGAGAGCAGACGCAGCATCCAGAGTGAAGACAAACGTTTAACCAAATAAACTGAGCTGAGTTCAAAGTGAGGATCTGAGAGAAACCAAACGTTTTATCCAACTGGCCACGCAGCTGAACAGGACCTCGGACATGAAGCTCATCCTGTGGGTAGATCTTTTTGTCACCTTATGACTGGAATCTATTTGGAGTTTGAAACTGATTATAAGCAATAATTCAACAACATACCGGTATTTAAAACGAATCAACGGAAAAACGTGTTTAAAATACGTTCAAAAAGTATAATGTAGAAAAGTGGCATGAGCACATGTATTCACCTCTTTGCTTTCAGAAGCATCATTAGTTTCATAAGATCCACCCGTGAACAACGCGAGTGTCAACAAACTGTTGGGAGTATCTAACCAAGGCCTCGCGGAGCAACACCTGGAAGTAGTGCAGTCGACCGCATGAAGAACATCACACAGAGACAAAGCTGTCATGAAGTACAGATCATAAAAATATACATCCTAAACCCTGAAGGTCCCACAGACTTCAATTAATACATAAGAAGACGATGTGAAAGCATCAAACCTGCTAAGAAAAGATTGTCGACCAAAACTCAGATCAGCCAAGAGGAGCGTTAGAGAAGCATCCAGGAGGTCAATGACAGCCCTGACGAGCCGAGCAACGCTCAATGTCCTTTACTGTCATTCGCACCACATGTGGTACATGAGATGGAACAAAATTGTGTACTCAAGTTCCCCATTACACCCAAAAATATAAACTATAAAAATAAACAGTTTACAAGGATCTAAAATAGAGTAGTCCCTCCCTCACTACTTCGTGGTTCGACTTTAGCAGCCTTGCTCTTTTGCAATTTTCCAGCGATTGTCAACTTTAGTACGTCCGTGTTTGGGACAGTACGGGATAAAAAGTTCATGAAAAAAAAAATACTTCGGACAGGCACCGCCATTTTGTAGTTTTCTTTCAGTAAGTCTAAACTGTAACGCACGTCAAAAGAACTGCACTACCCAGAAGCCAACAGTGCTTCCGGCCACTGCTTTCTGCCAAAACGGAGGGAAAGTTTAGCAACGCAAAGTCAGAAGTGGCGATCGATCTATTGAGCTCAAAGAACTGGCAGGAAAGTCACAAATAATCCTGAAGCTCAGTTATCCACGTGCACATCAACCTGGACGGGGCGGTGGGCTTCGTCACTGCAGGGTAGGTCTGCCGAACCGAGCTGCTGGTCTGCAGAGCTGGGGAGTAAAATTTTACAGTACATCTATGTATGTTGTTAAAATGATGTAGGTTTAAAAGTTGCAAACATTGCAAGAGTGTGGGAAGGGTTTGTAAGGCCTTAAAATATATATAAACACAAATAAATATAGCGTAACTTTGCAGTTTTTCACCTATTGCGGGGCTGGGGGGGGTGGAACGTAACCCCCACGATAATCGGAGTACTGTATACGCTGCTGTACTATAATAATATAAAAAGGTGCATGAAACAGCAGCCTGAGCAGCTCTTCTGCTCAGATGAGATGATCTGTTCACAAACTGCACAGACCTGAGCTTCAAGGAAGAGTGGAAGGAAAAATCCACCGAGTAAAAATATAAAATAAGGTACTTTGTCATTTCTTCCCTGACCATGTGGAAAAAGGTGCTGTGGTCAGATGAGACTCAAACTTCACTTTTTCACCACCAAGAACAACTGAATCTGGTGTACAAGAAGCACCTCTTAACGTGCTGAGAACACCATGCCCACAGTAAAGCATGGTGCTGGAAGCATCATGGTGTGGGCCTGTTTCTCATCAGCAGGGACTGAGAAACTGACTCGAGTTAAAGGAAACAGACGGAGCTCAACTGAAGTTCTTCCATCAGGACTATGACCCTAAACACACAGCTGAAGCAACACTCCAGTGGTTTAAGGAGAACCAGTTAAAGGTCCTGGACTGGCCCAATCCAACTGGGAAGCTCTGGTGTGAATCTATGGAGCTGGCCATGAAGAAGTGACAGTGGTGCAGTGGTTAGACCTGAAGAAACTTGCTAACACGTGCACACACCACTTTAGGGAGTGAGGAGTATTTGTGAAATGTTGTTCTTATTTCCCAGCCTTACATTTGCATTTTAATTTTTGTAATCCGATTAATAACCAACTAAACTCCAGGGTGCAGAGGCAACCAGGAGGATGAATACTTCTGCAACCCCTGCATCACAGAAAATGTTAATGTTGGTCTATTTCAGGCAGGGAAGAGTGAGGTTGCATCATGTTCTCCGCAGACCCTGTGCACATGGTCTGACCGCAGCCAGAAACCCAAATATGGAGCAGTTCGTGGTTGAACAGGACTCTCAGACCTGTCTGGGAGTAAACCAGTTCACGATTTCCACCAGTGCCCTCCAGTAAAAGCAGCCTAAATGGACGGATGTGCAAGTTTAACCGAAGCATGCAGTGTCTGCCACCTCCATGTTAGCAGCTAGTTGAACCTGCGAGGGCAAAACACAAAGCGTGTCAAACTTTCATAAATGTGTTGGGCAAACTAAAGCGGTGGCCTCGTCTTATTTTTGTTCCGTGTGTGAATTAACTTGAGACGGTGTTGCAGCACATGACTGGCAGGCCAACTTGTTGAACAGAACCGTGATAAGAGGCCGGAAACACTGCGCGCTGCGAGTCGCACCCAGAAAGCTAACTTAGCAGAGTTAGCATGAGAGCTAGCGAGTTGTGCTAACTTAGCGTCAACCTACCACCTGAGGCCGGCGTCTCTACCGGGCCGCTCTGGAGGAAGCTGGGTACAAACACCGGGGCGTTCACGTTGGGGACGAACGGCTTGGCGTTCACGTTGAGGGCAGCGAAGGCGGCTGGGAGCTCCGGGGCCTCGGCATCTTCCTCCTGCTCCCATGAATCCGGGGCTGTATCTCTCGAGTCCATGGTCGCCTCTTCCAGAGTTAACGAGCTTTACGCCACCGTCCGAGGGCCAATAGGTGAGTGGATTCGGTAAAACGCGAGAAGCTGCCGGTTTATTTCACACTCTTAGCAGCACGTTTGACGAAGTTACCGCAGCTTTTTAGCCTGGCTTTGATAAGCATATGGTCGGTTCCCCGATCTGTTACGGAAGCACACGTAGTGTAGCTCATTTGCGCATGCGCTAAAAGGAATACTTCCAGGTCGCACGGATCGCAGTGGAATATGATAAGATTAGGGAAAATGTACTGGTATAATTCCGTTTATGAATAAGAACTGTCTTAATTTACTTAGAAAAGTATGTGCTCTATCTCCGCCAATTTTCATGTTACTTTCCGTTAAACTCATTGACATATTTACGTCATGGTTAAAATGATATGCAGCTTCACCACTGAGCGGCGCTGTTTCAACATGGAAATAATTAATTCTCATCCATCCAACCGCTTTTTTCCGCTTATCCGGGGTCGGGTCGCGGCATAAGTAGGGAGGCCCAGACTTGCCTCTCCCCAGTCACTTGGGCCAGCTCCTCAGGGGAATCCCGAGGCGTTCCCAGGCCAGCTGAGAAACATAGTCCCTCCAGCGTGCCCTGGGTCTTCCTCTGGGCCTCCTCCCGGTGGGACGTGTCTGGAAAACCTCACCAGGGAGGCGTCCAGGAGGCATCCTAACCAGATGCCCAAGCCACCTCAACTGGCTCCTCTTGACGTGGAGAAGGAACAGCTCTACTCTGAGTCTCTCCCGGATGATCGAGCATCTATATTTCTAAGGGAGAGCCCAGACACCCTGCGGAGAAAACTCATTTCGGCCGCTTGTATCCTAGATCTTGTTCTTTCGGTCACAACACAAAGCTCATGACCATAGATGAGGGTAGGAACGTAGATCGATCGGTAAATTGAGAGCTTTGCCTTTTGACTCAGCTCTCTCTTCACCATGACAGACCTGTACAGCGCCCGTTTCACTGCAGACGCTGCACCTATCCGCCTATCGATCTCACGTTCCATTTTTCCCTCATTCGTGAACAAGACCGCAAGATACTTGAACTCCTCCACTTGGGGCAGGTCCTCCTCCCTGACCTGGAGAGGGCACTCTACCCTTTTCCGGCTCAAGACCATGGCCTCGGATTTGGAGGAACTGATCCTCATCCCAGCCATGTCACACTCGGTTGCGAATTGCTCCAGCAAAAGCTGTAGATCACGATCTGATGAAGCCAATAGGACCACATAATCTGCAAAAAGCAAAGACGCAATCCTAAGGCCTGTGAAAAAATTAATAAACTAACATGTATTGTTTAAATATTATTTAA